ATTTATATTTTTTTAAATAACATATATACATGCATAGAATATTTTCATATAAGAATAATTAATATAATTAATAAATATATTAATATTATAAAATTTTATTTATTTACATAATCATAAAAAAAAAAAAAAAAAATTGAAGAGGATGTATGTGAATTGCAAATTTTGCAATTGAGATCCTACGTGGCAGCAAGATACCTGACAAAAGTCAATTTGCAATTCAAATTGCAAGCCCCATGTGGGTGCTCTTGTTGGAAGTCTGTTAGAAAGGTTGGTGTCTTTGCCACCTGCCCACCTCACAAATTGTGCAACTCCTCTTATACATTTTATACCTTAAACAGTCAAACTGACTTAATTAATTTATTTTATATCTCCTTTTTTTTTTTTTTTTCATTTTACATGTTTATCCCATTAAAATACATAATTATATATTAATTAAAATACGTTGAAGAACACGTTTTTTTTTTATTTTAACAAGTTATATCATTATAATCGTATCATCAGTATTTTCGAAATGAGCCGAATATTGAATATTTTTTATTTAATTGTATTATTATACCATATATACTAGAAAAACAATATTTTTAAAATTACACTTTATACCCGTAAAGTTACTTAATTAATTTGTTTTACGTCTCTTGTTTTTTTAATTTTTCGTTTTACACTCTTATCACATTAACATACATAATCGTATATTAACTAAAAAAATACGTTTTCATTTTAACAAGTTACACCATTATAATCGTCTCGCCAATTTCTTTGAAATAAGCTCAACATTGAATATCTTTTTATTTAATCATATTATAATGACAACAAATTATTTTTAACATTTACACTTTATATCTTTATATGATTAAATCAAAAAATATTCAATATTAGATTCGTTTAGAAAATATTGACGAGACGATTGATGTAACATGTTAAAATTAAAACATATTTTCTTATGTATTTTAGTTAATATACAATTATATATATTAATTTAATAAGGGTACAAAAAAAACGTAGCACAAATTAATTAAGTAACTATAAAAGTATAAGAATTTTACAAATTACAAATATCGATTGCTGAAGTGTTAGAAAGACGAGAGGTATGAATGGAAATTGACAGGAATGCCGACCATAATCAACAATCCCCTTTTATTTTAATTATTTAATCTATTTACGGAATTGCCCTAATCGTATAATAAATAAACATACAAATAACAAGTGGGCGATTATCGCGAAAGTCGCTTGCAATTTTTGGGAAAACTTGAAATAATAACTAAGCGAAAAAATAAAGAAAATATGAATTAAAATTAAATGTATTTAACAGATTAACTGATAAGTTAGTTGACTTTTAATAAGTTATCTGATAAACAAATTAAATTATACGAAACTAACTGAGTTAGATAAAAATGTAAAATGACAAAAAAAAACAATTTTAAAAATTAACTAACTACAACATTTTATATTAATTAAAACAACTATCTAATAATATAACATGTTATTAATACAAATAAAATGGTAAAATAATCTAGTAATATAATATGTTAATTGAAGGATTTAGAATTGATTATTATATAACTTTTTTGATTTGTTAATATAAATTTTAGAAAAAATCTACATTAATTTATAATTTAAATAATAATTATATATAATATGAATAAAAATAAGATTAATAGTCTTAAATAGTGATGGCCAAATCGGCCCGGCCCAGCCCGGCCCGGGACCGGTAAAGACTGATTATGGGACCTGTTGGAGTTTTTGGTTGTTTCGTAGGACCGAGACCGGTTTTTAGCCATCACTAATCTTGAATATCCTAATTAATTAATAACTTTTTAAAAGATATAATTAATTGATATATCAAATATTTTGTTAGAATTATTTAGAACAATTTTATTTTCAAAAGATATAATTAATTAATACATTAAATATTTTATTATAATTATTAGAACATTTTTATTATCTATTAAACAAAATAAATACAATCATAATATTTATAGCTAAATATATTAAATAATAATATAAATAATTTATACGATCAATAATAACTCTCAATAACTAATATCAATTAACTATTAATTAATATCCGTGATAATTAGTTTAAAATAATATTTGTTTATGATCAATAGTATTGAATCATAATTAATATTAATCGGGGTTATAATTGAAAAAGGTGTTAACAAAACTCTTAAACATTACTTCAATTGACGTTTTAGTAAGTTAGTTTATGTTGATTCAAACGTGTACTAGAAATAGGTTTGTTTATAAGCCAATTTATGTTTGTCAAATAATGTCTTATTTTGGTGGGATCATCCCATTTTTAATTAATTAAATTATAATTATTAAAAATGTTTTATGAAATTATATATCCTTATTATTAGAGGAAAAACATCATTTAGTTGTATAAAAAATCTAATAATTACACAAAGTAAGGTTCATTTGAAAAGTAGTAAGTATTTGAAAAGTAAAGACGTGATCGTAACCTTTCATATGGTTAAAATTTGTCAAGAATTATGGCTTTGACTACTTCTCAAATGAACCTATAACTAATTACACAGTTTTAAAATCATGCCATTTTTATTATAAACATTTATTTTGAAACAAAAGAGTAACAAACACATAATATTTTGCGGCCAAATTCAAAATGAAAACAAATAATACATTATAAATTAATTGATTTAAATCTAAAAGGGTAGTATGTAGGAACAATTACTTGAAGACGCAGATTCGCATCGGATTCGTCGAAGAAAAGTCTTCATACAACTTGAATATTTTATAACATCATAGATTTTATTCTTATTATTAAATTCACTTTTTTAAAAACAAAACAATATCTTTTATTATATTTTATTTAGATCTAAAAATTATTAATTATATATAATCCACGTTAAAACAAAAATAGTTGTATGAAAATGTACGTATTTTAATTCGATAACATACTTTTAAAATCTTTATTTTGATATATCAGGTCGAATATTTACGTATTAGGTTTACACCAATCAAATTTGATGATTTCATCTCATGCATCTGAAAGTAAAACAGTTATAATTAAACTACTTTGTCCTAATGAACAAACACATGAAAGCAATACGACGACAACCGAAGCCCGTTGCCACAAGAAAGCCGAGACATTTCTTTGAGTTGTGAATGTCGTAATTGAATTGCTGCAATGTAGCACATCGTGTCAACAACCAGACACCTTTGTACCTGAATCAAACAAAACCCAACCCAAAATCAACACTAATTCCGTAACCAATCAATCAATCAAGATTCAAACTGAAGCCAAGTTCTTTAACATACTCTTTGGCATTTGCAATAACGAAAGCTTCCAAAGCCCACCTCGGGAACACAAATCGTGCTACCACAAAAGCAACAGACTTTTTCTCTTGATTTGCGATCAGGGTCAATACAACAGGAAGAAGCACAGACCACTGCGTGAAACAAAAATATCAGAAGTAAGTTCATATAAATGGACTCTCTCTCTCTCTCTCTCTCTATATATATATATATATATATATAGTACTTTGGAAGGCAGCATACATACCAATTGGGCTTGGCTAAACTCCAGGGAGATGGCAAGCGTATAGGATATACCAGTCACGCAGTAAACCAGGCACAAGAGTATTATTACGTAATTGGATTCGAAGCTTGATCTTGGATAGCTGAAAAAATAGAAGATGCAAAGATAAACCAAGGGCTTCAACACCACGTTTAAGAGGTCCATCGTATCTTTCGCCAGAAAATAAGATAAATTGTTCATGCCACTAGCATTCTCCCTCTTGTATTGTAATTTATCATGAGAAAATGTTCTGAAAGCTCCAATCATGCACAACAAAGCTGAAAATCACTCATCAACACCATACTAATAATTAGTATATCAAACAAATTTTATGTTTCTTGATTAATACATGATTAATGCTTTCTCTATTCCAAAATATTTGGAACAATATTCCTATAAAAGCACTAGTTTATCTCTATATCTTGTTTCTAAAGATGTTCAAAAGTTAAAAAGATTCAAACCCACATAAAGTTTCCATATTTAAGCTGTGGTACTGGTAGCAAGTAAGAGGTAGAGAAGATGAGAATTGTTTTAAATATTTCTTTTTAACAAAATGGCCCAATATTTTGGAAAGGAGGGAGATATGATAACTTAAGAAGCAGACAGTTAGTTAGTGGTCGGAAAGGTAGAAGTTAGTTTGGGAAATGGCACCAAAGTTTTTAAATATGTATGATCCATGTTAAAACAAAAGGAATATAATTCGAACGTAAGCATTTAGGTATCTGATTTACATATGATCATGCATAAAATATAACCTTCGTTTATTAATAAATCATTGATTTGGAATCAAAAGAATCGTTTTTCTAGTATAAGAAGTTAGAATACGTTGTTTCAAGACAGAAGGGATGGATTAAAATTGTCTAAATGATTTAAGTTTTGATTTTGCCATGAAAGTTTACTAGTATTTTGTTTATATATGTTAAACTAAGAAGGATAGTGAAAATTGAATTCCTGTGGTAGGCAATTTACATGAGACAAAAGAACCATTTGAACCCCATCAATGATCTCTTGGTTGGTCGTTATTATTTCCAGTTACAGAAGAGTCGAAATAGGCAGTTACAGACCATATCAGTAATAAAATTAAATGATGATTTTCATTGAAGTGTATGTTTTTTAGAACCCAAATAACAAAAACAGATTTTTTGATGAAATCATAGCGGGCTAACCACACCCCCAATGTCCATTGGTTCAATCTATTCCCGTTTGGATTTTTTTATGCACCGCTAACTTGACAATTATACACAAATTACTTAAAAGAAAGTAGTCCCAGAATAAATCTTTATCATATAAGAAACATGTGAATGTTGTATGAGATAACCAATACGAATATTAATGTGTGAATACCCAGTGGTGGATCTAAATTTTTTGTCGAGCGGATGCACCTTTAATGCTGGCTATTTTTAGTTGAACTCCACCATTTCGAGGTACTTTTAAAAAGTTTTTTGGTTGATTTAAAAGGACTAGTTTTTGTGGATTTCAATTAACTTTTTAGGGTTTTTTTTTAATTGATTTCAAGACGTTTTTTGGGTTGATCTCAAGTCATGTTTTTTTTTTTTTTTTTGGGTTGATCTCAAGTCTTTTTTTTTTTGGTTTTTTGGTTGATTTCGAATGATATTTTTTGGTTTTTTGGTTGATGTTTCGTATATATCATAATATCTTATAGTACCTTTCAAAGTTTTACGGGTGCGTTTTTCATACCCAAAGAAAAATTTTACTTATGAAAATAAGTTGAGGTGGTATATGAGACTCCGTTCAGAGCTTAATAGGTATGTCCCTAGGAATAGTAAACTCGTCGATTTAACAAACACCAGAGCTTAATCCAGAATTTGGATGGAAAAGAAATTTTGGTATCTGAAACAAAAATGGGCCCAGAAAAGATGATGGGCTACACATAAAATAAAAGTGTTCCAACAACAATTCAAAAATTTGTAAACATATCATTCTTATAACAATTCAACCACAATTCATACCCTCTGTTTGTATCCCTAACAAACCCTTTTTTTATTGAATATACAAACAGACGTATACATACAAGAAAGAAAACAATCACACAATTATGTATACATACACTCAGACCATCGAAGCATTAATTTTTTCGGATTGGCCCACCTTCGGAATCGGCTCCATTTTCAAAATTGATTGATGCAATTTTCACGCTACAGCAAAAACATTTGCATTTACAGTACCAGCCAAGTGCTACTACTACTGCTATTGCTGCCCCCACCGCCGCCATTATTCTTACAAGGTTCTTGGATTTCAGATGAACCAATTTGCTCTGTTTTTTGGTTTTATAGGCAGTTGGGGTTGTCGACGGCTGTGAAGTGTTTACGATGGTTTGTGTTGGTGGTGGTGGTGAATTTGGTTCGGGTTTTGAATCAAAAGACGAGTTGAAACTCCATCGTTGAAGTGAGTGAACTTCAGTGCTCCCCTGTGTTGATGCGGACATCCCCACAAACATAAACTCCTTCACGTATTCATTGAGATTTACGGTGATTGATAGGACGGGTGATTTGGGTTTTGTATTGCTGTATGAGATATAGATGTTGAGTTGGTTAGTTGAACCGGAATAATCAATCCATGATTTCACCGGCTTACCACTTCGTAAATTGACATTGGCCGAATGCAGATCGGCAACATGAGAAGAAACCATTGAGCCTAGATCCAAGCCCACATGGTTCCCGTTAACATCTTTGAACTCGACGTCCATACAAGTATCAAACTCAACAGCAACCGCACCGGTTGGAATTCCCATATGTCCACCAGGGTCACCAATTGCTTCATCGTCGGGCGATATGACGAAAGCCATACCACCTCCAATCGAGTTGGGATTTAAATTGTCAATCGAAAAGGAAAAGGTTGTAGTGAAACTCATCGGAGTTGGGTTCCCAGGTTGCAGGAATCTGATGGGCTTGTTGTACAGAACCCTGCCGGCGCTGGTGTCGGGGACGAGGAGCTCTGGAGTGAGTCTGATACTGTTGTTGAAAACATGAGCCTCGCCCAAGAACTTGAAGCCGGTGGCGGAAAATGTTTGGAAGTCAAAGGAGGTGATTCCGGTGGTCGCGTTGCCGGAAAAGAGGAGGAGCAGAAGAAAGTATAAGAGAGGGAACATTCTTGGTGAAGGCATGGTTTGTGTTTTCAATCTAAGAAGCAATTACTATATATAATAGAAAATATTCCAACGCCGACTCGTCAATGATTATGAAAATCATTTCTCTTCTGTTTGGAGTTTTCTATCCTGCGTCCTTTTCTCCTCCTTTTTCAACGTTTAGTTAAGACTTTGGAGTTTGGAGTTTTATATCCTCGTATCCCTTCCTTACCACCACCACCTACATACACTACAAGCTACCAATGTATATATATATATATATATATTTTTTTCATGTTCTCAAAATACTTTTGACATCACTCATGTCTTGACCTTCTCATACCTCTATGTCTTCTCCTCATCCCCAAGATGAGATTCAAACTGATATTTATTATGAGTTATTAAAAGTTCTCTCATTCAAATGTTCTATAACTCTCAATCTCGCTCTCGATCTCTTGATTCTTTGTTCTTGGTGTAAATCGAACACATTTGTGAAGTCGTTTAAATATGTTGGATTTTAAATATATTAGATTATAAATTGTCATACAAATTTTTTTATCGACATACTCTAACTGGAGCCATAACTCTTATTTATTTAAATTGTATTCCTATGTAAATATCAAGTGTAACTTATATTATTGTTAAATCTTCTCGAATAAAACAGTGAAACTTCAAAATCGTTAAAATTCATGGCTCTCGCCGCATTGCGCCGGTACACAACTAGTTGTTAATAAAACGGGTCTGTTCTTCAATGGCTAAGCAAGGTAAGCACAGCTGGTCCCAGAGTCTACGACCTATTGACGAGAAGATTACAATGACGTAACTTATTAAAATAAAAACATATTTTTAACAGATTTTAGTTAATATACAATTATGTATGTTAATGTGATAAGAGTATATAACGAAAAATGAAAAAGTAATGTATATAATACAAATTAAATAAATAACTGTAAGAGTATAAAATGTAAGTATTAAAAATAATTTATGTAGTTATGGTATTTAATAATATGATTAACCAAAAATATTCAATACTGAGCCCATTTAAAGGCACTCACAAGACGATTATAATTGTGTAATTTGTTAAAATAAAATAAAAATATTTTATTTAATATACAATTATGTATATTAATGTGATAAGAATGTAAAATAAAAATGGAAAATGAAAAAGTTAAAGATATACTAAAAAAATTAAATAATTAACTACAAGAGTATATAGTGTAAGTATTAAAAACATTTTTTTCGTACTATATATTATAGATAATAATATAATTAAATAAAATAATATTCATTATTGAGTTCATTTCGAAGAGATTAACGAGACGATTATAATGGTGTAATTTGTTAAAATAAAACGTATTTGAGCTAATATATGATTATGTATGTTAATGTGATAAGAGTATAAAAAGAAAATTGAAAAAACAAGAAGATGTACCATAAATTAAATAATTAACTACAAAAGTCTAAAGTGTAAGTATTAAAAATATTTTTTCGTAATATATATATATATATATATATATATATGATATAATAATATAATTCGATCAAAAAATATTCAATATTGAGCTTATTTTGAAGACATTGACGAAACATTTATAATGATGTAACTTATTAAAATTAGAATTAATTTTTTTGTATTTTAATTAATATACAATTATGTACCTTAATATAATAAGGATGTATAACACAAAATGAAAAAGTAAAAAACGTAAAACAAATTAATTAAGTAACAATAAAGATATAAAGTGTAATTTTAAAAATTATTAAAAAATATCATGTGAGAGAAGATGAGATGAAAG